TCTCCTGGGGCAGCAAGAGTATGAAATCCAATATATATTTTTTTGAGAACTTGAGGTTGGGAAAAAAAATGGGTTATGCTATGAATCACTTCCCTTTATATTACAAAGTCTTAGTGAATTGTGGTAAACAAGGCCCTATCAGGGTCAGTGCGCTGGAGAGGAAAAAAATAAAATAAAAACAAAAACTCAAGAGATGAAACTATCTGGGAAATAAATCTTAACGCAAAATAGTCCATGCCGTAAAGACGCCATTCAAAAAGGGGGAACATCTGCTATCTCGATCCACAGCAGTACAACGAAATGGCTAAACGCCACCAACCCCCCCCCCCCCCCCCACCCTAAGAAAGATCTTGGGGAGAAAAAATTGGAACTCGGTTATTATATATGCTGACTGCGGCGAGAATTCTCTACGTGCAAGAATGGAAAGATACAATAATTCCCACAATGGAAGAACGGACGGAGCTGGAAGATATGGCAAAATTAACTGTTTTAATTAAAGAAAAGATCGCTTGCTTCTACTTAGAAACAGGTATAGCTGGACTTCGTGCTTGAAACAAAACATGTTGGGTGCATCTTATACACTGAAATAGCATTTTTGCCTCGTGAAACCATGCCCCCTTCCCCAAAATGACCATGCATAGCCTTTAGGAGCCTTGCAGAGTGCTCCTGGGGGGCTGGAGGGGAGAAATGAGTGAAAAATGGGCCTTTTTTGCCCCTCCAGCTCCCAGCTGCACTCTATAAGTTTCCTAAAGAGTATCCATGCCCTTTTTTTTGAAAACAAATGGGGCGTTTTTTGCTCATTTTTGCCCCCCCCCCCCGAGCACTCTACAAGCCTCCTAAAGGCTATTCATGCCCTTTTTTGGGGGCGGGGGGGGGGAATGGGAGGCATTTTTGCGAGGTCTGCAGAGTGCAAAAACTTTTTTAAAAAATTTGCCTCTTCAAAACCCTGCTGCGTCTTATACTCCGAAAAATACAGTAAGTGGAAAGAATCTAGAAAAACAGTGATGGTGAACCCTTTTGGCACCGAGTGCTGAAAAGAAAGCGTATGCTTGTCTGGGCCACAACTTGGAAGAGGAGCCAGAACAGTGTTTCTCAACCTTGGCCACTTGAAGATGTCCGGACTTCAACTCCCAGAATTCCCCAGCCAGCGAATGCTGGCTGGGGAATTCTGGGAGTTGAAGTCCGGACATCTTCAAGTGGCCAAGGTTGAGAAACACTGAGCCAGAAGGAGCACTAGAAAATGAACTTCTGATTTCTGGCGCATGAATGCGCACCAGACAAGTGGTCTTCCGATTACTGGTATGCATGCAAGCGTGGCAATCAGCTGGCGGGCACGCATGCTCAAGCCGGAAAACGAAAGACCGGCTCTTCCAGTTTCCGGCACTGCCACGGGCACGAAGGTCAGCTGATTGTCATGCACACATGCGTGCCAGAACCCCAAACGAGGAACAGGTGACGCTGGGCGTGCCCGGCAACATGGTTCCGTGTGCCACTTCGATCACGCGTGCCGTAGGTTTGACATCATGGATCTAGGCAGAAGCACGGACCATCTGCCTCGAAACCTCCAAACCGTGAAAGTACGGCAATCCCCCGACTGTCACATTTTTTATTTATTTTTTAGCCCGTTGACAAATGGCAGGTCTGACAACTCACTTTTCCCTTTTAAGATATTTCTAACTTTCTTCGCCGTGGCAGGCAACAAAATTGATTAAACCCAGCCCGGGGATTTGACACTCCGGCCGACGAGCTTCTATTTGTTGATTACTATTGATTTTCTTTGATGCTTCATTTTAAAAATCAATAGCCGGGAAGAAAAATAGGCCTGGTTTAGACGTACTTAAACCTGCTATTGTGCGCTGGGAGAGGGCAGAGTTTTTGGCAGGGCTCTGGCGTCCAATTAGGAAGAAAGCTCTTAACAGGTGAAAGGCAGGGGCCTGGATCAATACGCCGTTTTCTTCCTCAATCAGAGAAAGTGGCCATAAATTAGACTCATCAGTGGTGTTTTCAAGATGTTCCTAGAGCAAATAACTTCAAAAGGGTTTTGCATTTTTCCCGGTTTTTCACAGCAGCTTTTCTGAAGGGCACGAATAAATACATTTAAGCCGTTTCATGCAAAGGAATGAAATAAATTTAAGCCTTTTCGTGCAAAAAAACCTAATGGGAAACAAAATCCATCCATCCATCCATCCATCCATCCATCCATCCATCCATCCATCCATCCATCCATCCATCCATCCATCCATCCTACCTACCTACCTACCTACCTACCTATCTACCTACCTACCTACATACCAACCAAGAGCCGTGGTGGTGCAGTCGTTAGGGTGCAGTACTGCAGGCCACTTCAGCTGACTGCTGGCGGCCTGCAGCTTGGCAGTTCGAGTCTCACCAGG